ATGGGACACTTGAGCAAATCTTATGCTAATTTTTTATTTTTGCTTGTGACTGGCTAAAAAGGTATGTGTCATCAAGCATGCAAGTTCACATGCCAGCTCTGCCACTCTTGTCTGTTTATCCTGAGGGTTCATTAATCTTTCTTGTCAGAAAAATCTCTGTATGTGCCTGATGCCCTGGATAGTTGTTTGGCTGTTTTAAAGGTGGTCCCCCTGCCTGCTGGTTGTGCTTTGGTTTGGTATGATAAATGCTTGCTTTTTTTCCCTTCCCCCTCCTTCTTCATGATGCGTTTGACTGTCAGCATTCCTTTGCCTTTATCTGTGCGCTCTTTAGGATGTCCATATAAAGTTGCTAAATGGAATTTTTATTGGCTTTGCTTAATAATCAAACAGTTTCCAGGCTGGTTCTGTCTAGTGCTGTGTGGATCCATTCTGAGGAAGAGGAATCTCTGTTTTTTGGTTGTTCTTTTGTTTGTTTTTGGTTTGGTTTGGTTTTTTGTTGTTTTGGTTCGTTTTGTTTTTTTTTCCCTTTTCCACAGACTTTTGTTGGGGATATTGCTTATTCAAAGGTTAGGGTTTAATTAATTTCTGAAAAGGCTACTTTGTTAGATTAAGTAAGGCCTGAGTCATATCAGCCTGGAACATCAGCATCCTAATTGGAAATTAGTGTATTGTATTGATGTATTGTGCAGAAAACCACAAAATGCATAGTGCAAGTGGCCCTTGAAATGTAATACCAAAACAAAAAAAGCAAACAGGATATTGTGGTTGTATAGTAAATTGCATTTGAACAAAATGTAACTTTGAGCATGAAATGGTGATAATCTTTTGTACTCAGAAATTACCTAAAATTTCTGATGGCTGTCTAAATTCAATGGAACTGACGAAGTCGTTAACTTTAAGCAGGTGAAATCATTCTCGTGTTGAACTAAATTATTTTTCATCCGTAAAGTGCTCGAATTTCAATTCTACTGTCCCCACATTAAGTGGTCATGCCCACATTTAATGTGTGTTAATTATCAAAGACAATGCAAGTTTAAAAAAATAAGCAGTCTATAAATTCTCCTACAGGAAGGTGGAATTGCTTCATGAATTATGAACCAGGAACTCTCTGGACGTGGGTGGTTACTACTTCACTGGGTACTACTTTGTTTGTAAAGTGAGTTGCTCAAACTCTAGCCTAGGAGGAGATTACATAAATTTGCTGTTGCCCAGAAAATGTCTGTTTGAAATAGAAATTACAGTATATCATCACCTGCCTGGGTTTTTATTGGTGCCCCTGAAGCTTTCAATGAAGTTGGGAGACAAACTGCATCTCAGGAATGTGCTGTGGTTTTCTGAATATTTATTACTGTCCTGTTCTCTGCCTGAGGTAGGGAAGAAGGATTGTGGTGAGTGAGGGGAGCACTGGGTCACACAGATGTGCAGGAAGCTGCTGCAGCATCAGCTGTGCTGGGGATGGCTTGCAAAGTGTTCATTTCAGGTGGTGACAGAAGTGCTTTAGGTGCCCCTGTGCTTGTGTCCAGTATTAGACCTGGCTTGGGCTATTCAGTCAAATCACTGTAGTTTCAGCACTGGTATCCTCTGCTCCTGTCTCCAGTTTTACCACCACATACTGACTTGGAAAGTTGTAGTGTGACCTGTACTATTCTGTGTTTCCATCTGAGACAGATGGGAAAACTCAGTATGGGGGAGCTCTGTATTTCAGCTTTGTTTTGGGCTTAGCTAGTTGTAGTCTGACTTGGGAACTGGAAATGCAGATTGTCAGTGTGACTGAAACATGTTTCTTTACAGATTTGGTTACCTGACTAAGAATGAACTGATTTAGTTTTAGCAGAAATCTGTCGGTGTGTGCCTGCTCGTGCTGGTGATCAGGATTCATAAATGATCTGTGTATCAGTCTTGTGTGACTTCTTTGCCCTCTTTGACGCCAGGGGGAGTTCAGCTTTCTTCAGGTTAGATTGCTATTATTTGCTTTATTTTACAGAGGGATTTTGTTTTCCAACATCCAGGTGGTCATTCTTTAGAGCCTTTTTTCTCTACAGTAATAATTGCAGGGCTGAGATTGCAGTTCACCATTTCAGCAGTTTTGCTGGTAGTGATGGTGGAAAATGTAGGCTGAACAAGGTTTGGAAGGTATTTTTCAAGGAAAAAGTATAATCCAAGCAGTTTGGTGCTATAAAAGTGCAAGTATCTGAATGCTGTCCATGCTAATAAATTCTGAGTACCATAAGCCACAAAGCAATGAATTTGCTGGAAAGCTTTAAGGAGAGTAAATTAAAAACCCTACCAGAAGATGGATATGTAAGGGAGCTTTGAAGAATTAGGACCAAATTTTCACTGACAGTTTCACAGAGGGGGGGGAAAAACCCTCATGTTTTCTGAAGCTTGGCTGGGAGCAGTCTTGTTTGATAATCATGTAGCAACTCAAGTTAAACATTCAGAGTTCAAGGGGAAAGCAGTTAGCATAAAATACCATTTTGATTGAAGGTTTTCGTGGCATAAACTGCATTCCAGGGCTTCCATCAGATGACCCATATATCTTTCATCAAAGCATGTTATTTCCTCTTTGGCTTTCTGTTAAATATTAACTCTGTCTACACTGCAGTTTCTTTTTCACTGGTCTGCAGGGTCTGTTTCTGAGTCCCTCCAAGGTGAATTGCTCCTGTCAGGTGGAGATGTGTGGTGCCCACTGCCTGCCAGGCTGCAGTTCTGTCTCTGTCCTATGCAAGGGGTTGGAGATGGCATGCTACAGAGTTTTTGAGTGCTTGATGCTAGTTTGAAAGGAACATGGGTGATGTTTTTATGCCCATGATTTTTTGTCTCATTGTAAGTGGCCAGCCTGATCTGCTTATCTTCAAAGAGCAAGAGTGTATCAGTGCACAAGGGTGTCCCAAAAACCTACTCGTTCTTGAGATATTTGCTGAATGCTTCTGGTTTGACCATTGCCTTCCTCCATAGCACAGCTCATACCACTACATTTTGCTGTCCTTATTACACCTGAGTACAGTCACAGATGTATTTTACCATCTCTTGCTTTCAAAACCTAAATTAATGTTCTGTAATGATTAATTAGCCTCATATTTTTGTGGGAATGACCTCTAAGTGCAAGAGATGCTTGGCTGTGTAAAAGAGTTCAAGATGATGAACTGTGTCACTCTATAGCTGGTGAAGTGTATCTCCAGACTGAATCACTGAGCAGCCAATTCATACAACATAGATAAACATGTACAGCACATACAAGTACATAGTACAGCAGATGTGGCACTTAGGAACATGTTTTAGTGGTGGACCTGGCATTCCAAGCTTCATGGTTGGACTTGATGGTCTAAAGGGTCTTTTCTATGATTCTAAGAGAAAACCCATTTTTTTTAACCTGACTTTTTTTTAATGCTAATGTAACAGTATTGATTATGTATGTATCTCTAAAATTTGCCAGGTGAACAATATTAACATGTATCAGTGGGAACGTTAGAAAGTCTTGTGAGTTTAAGTGTGGAAGACCTCAATTTCAGGACTCTGGTTTACAATATCCACTTTTGTTGTCCAGCAGCCTTCAAAGGCAGGTCACTGTTGTAATTTTGTTTTACTTACGTGCCAAGAGATGGGTAAAGTTTGGTTCATGTTTCCATGGTTATTTTGGTACTTCATATGGTTTATTCTCTGCTCCCCCCCATGCCCTAAGTCACTTGCTGGATTCAAGGGTCATTTCCTGTTTGCAGAACTCCTATTAGCATCAGTAGGGCTGTTGTGCAAACATTTGGGGCTTCAGTATGGCCTCTCCTGTCATTCTTTTTTTTCCTTTTCCTATCTGCCAGCCAGCTGAATAAGCACAATTATCTCTTTGCTCTGTGGATCCAGTCTGTACTCACATGGGTGGGATTCTCAGAAGTCCGTCTCCCTCTCTGACACATCTGCTGTCATAAGTCTTCCATTTCTAAATCCAAATCCAAAAATTTAGCATTTTTGTCTCTGCTGGTAGAAGGTGCTCTGCAGTTTTCTGCAGGGTCAGTTCTGCAGAGATACTGGTTTAGCCAGAAAAACCAAACTGATCTGCTCCTTGGTGCCTTGCCCTGTGCATTTTTCAGGAAAAGGGAGCATATCAAGATGAACAAGAAAAGCTAGCTATAAGGTACACATATGCTCCATTAATCCTAATGATCCTATCCTGCTTTGGAACTGGTTGCAGGTTTATTGTAAAGACTCGGTGTAGTACAATGAGCTTTTGTACTGTCTTAGTCATTTCTGTGTGTAAGATATCAAGAGTCAGTCTCCTCTGTCTGCTGTTAGCCTTGAAAAGATGTCTTTTCATAAACCAATTAGCTGAATTCTGTTGAACTGCCTAAATTCCTTATGTGAGGGTGGTGGTGGGGTGGTGGAGTGTGAATTCCCTTCCTGGAATTGGTCCTTGCACATGCTGCTATACCCATTGCTGCCTCCACACACGTCTGAAGGAATATTTATGCCCTTGGCAGTGACTTTCCAGGCCTTAGGAAACAAATTTTGTTTTTGTGGTTCACCAAAACACTTTACAGGCCTTACTGCTCCCTGAAGAAGGAAGGATTTTCCCCAGCTGCCATCCTCTGCAGAATCCTTCTCGGACCGGTTGTGCCAGCACCTCTTCACACAGCATTGCTTTGGCAGAATTGCTTTAGCAGAAGGGACAGACAAAGGCAGTGCTGTTACAGCCATGTAGCATGGGGGGACCACTGCCTCAAATACCCTGGTGACTTTCTGGAGGGTGACCAGAAAACCATAGTAGCCCTGGGAGACAACTGTAATTGATGCCCTAATGGAGAGCTTTTAGCTGCCAAAAGGCAAACCATCCCCTCAGATTTCTGCTGTGCTTTAGTGCCTATCGATTACTGGGGCAAATGCATTATGTTAGCAAAAATAAGCTTTCCCTGATCAAACGTATGCTTTATCAGCCACATAAATGCCAGCATGACTCTCTCATTGCTACAACATATTAAACACCTTGGAAATGTTTCCTTAAACTCTAGGTCAGTCTTATGAAATCCGTCTACTTGAGAATAGGAAATTGGGAGAGTTTCAAGATTTAAACACAAAATATGTAAAGGTAAGGAGAAATATAGATTTCTTTTCTTCCTGCTACTACATACAGCCTTTAATAAAGGGCCTGACCTTGCTCCCACTGAGACAATGGAAAACACTTTGCCATTGTTTTTAATGGGAGCAGGGGTGACAGAGTTGTTGAGTGCTAGTTTCATGGGATTATGCAGTTTGGCTTTGCAGGGCTTCAGGGGAACCTTTATTCTGCTTGTGATCATGACCCCAGAGTTTCACTGTGAATATTGGGTTCAGGGGAATCCCAAAGTTCAGTGGTGAACATGGTCAAAGCTGTGGAGAGGCAACTTGAATTACAGCAACATGCCTGGGTTGTTATGTGACAAATGGAGGGCCCAGGTGTTTATATAGTTCTGCCAGGCAGATTCTGTATAGCTCCAGTTTACTTTGGTAATGGGCATAATGATGAATATATAGAACTTGATCATTTGGTTTGGGGGACTTTTTCCTGTTGTTTCCCCCACTGCCAAAACAGTTCAAATTCAAAAACATTGGTCTGGACCCTGGTTCTGGATCCAGCCTTCAATTCTTGGCTGTTCTGCCTCAGAATTTCCTTTGAGAAGTGGGAGCTAATTGCAAAATTTTTATTCCAATTTGGATTTCAAATGTTGTTCAAGTTTAGGCCATTCCCTATTTGTCTTTTGGCCCATTTCAGATAGTATGTGGATTGGGATTCCAATTTTGCAGGTGTTCCCACTGTGGCTTGTTTGCATCTTGAAACTAGGTTTTGATTTGGGCATTTCTCAGGTTCACTTACAAAAATTGCTCACTCGATATGGAAGTTCCCAGCAAGAGTGTGGGCTTGAGAAACTGGGATGTTAGGGGTCATTAACTCATGTAAGTGTAGCACTCTGAATATACAAAAGAACATAAGAGTATTTAGGACTTGTCTGCCCTGGGGATTGCCCTTATTCCAGCCTTTTTTCTCCAGTTATTGGCATGGCTGCACCATTGCAGACCAGCCTCCTGTTACAGACACTTTTCTACTCTACCTACCCTTGTTTAACTACTCTGGGGCAAATGACTGGCTCTTAATGGCTGGAATCAAGTTTAATTCCCACTGACAAGGTGTCTGGATATGTCAGCTCCACTGGTGCAGGGACAGGTGAGCTGGCTTCCACTTTTGCAAATCTGAATGGGATATACTGGGGTTGAGACATGGTACTGACACATTAAATATGACCCCCATATTGAGCCTTTTTGGGTGTTGAGGCAGTTTAGTGATGTTTCATGCCATGACACCTAAGATTAGGTGGACATTGCTATAGTGCTTCCAGAGTGAATCCCAGAAAGCTGCACAGGACTGTGTTAGTCCTGTAAGATGTGCCCTGTGAAGAAAGAAATGTGTTTCTCTCTCAGGGGTCCCTTAGGAATTTGATACACATGGTAATGGGTCTCTTAGGTGGACCCTTCTGCTCTCCTCATGAATGGGGGTGAGAAGCATAACAGATCAGCTTTTGCTTCTACTCTGGAAAACCAAAGTCATCTTGAGAGAGGGTTCTGGATCACAGTGTTCATATTGCTGTCTTTTTTTAACAGAGTATAATTCGTGTCGTTTTCCACGACCGCCGCCTGCAGTACACAGAGCATCAGCAGCTCGAGGGCTGGAGGTGGAGTCGGCCTGGGGACCGCATCCTTGATATAGGTGAGACTATTTCATTGTGACACCTCTGCAGGGTTGGGGAGATGAGTGGTGTATGGAGCGTTTGCATGTGTGTTTAGGCTTTTAAAGAATCCTCTGTGTCTGTGGGAGAGAAGGAGATCTAGCACTATAGGTCACAAGTAGAGATGTCTTTGGTGGCTTCGCTTTCACATGCATGTTCTGATTGTATGGAAATGCTTTCTCTCCTTCAATTTAATATTTTTAAAATTTTAGGGGTTTTCTTCTACAGATATCCCGCTGTCAGTTGGTATCTTGGATCCCAGGGCTAGCCCGACCCAGTTGAACACTGTTGAATTTCTCTGGGATCCATCAAAGAGAGCTTCTGCATTCATTCAGGTAAGAGAGAAGTAATATTTCTGGGGTAAACACAGTGGTTAGATATCTTTTAATGACCTGGGCAGACAAAATAGCCAGTATATGAACAAGAGAGAAAGATGGTAATGATAATTACTAACTGATGTGACAATCATGTACAATTAATTTGTAGGATAATCACTAAATCAATTTGCTGGCTACTTGTTAATGTTGGAATACTACCTGCTACTACCAGGATTTTCTTTAAAAAAATACTCAGACACTGGTGTTACTTTCTAAGCATAGGTTTTGTCTTGAGGAAACTGTTCATAACCTGTAAGTTTTCCTTGTTTTCCTATTTCATAACTATTTCTCATTCTGAGCATCAGCTACCTGTTTTCAATCTGAATGATTTACTTAAATCAAAGGATGCTTTTCCTGATGCCCTGTTTCTTTCTGAGCTGCTTGTTCTTCTGATTATTTTGCCCAAAGGAAAAGAAATGAAAACATATGAACTCTTCTGCCTCTCTTAGTTTTTTTGTGAGGAGCCAAAACCTTATGTTCAGGCAGTATCTGAAATTCAGATGACCACAGGTTCCAACTGTCTCCAGAGATGAGCACAGCTTCTGTTTTACCAGGTACATTGCATCAGCACAGAATTTACTCCACGGAAACATGGAGGAGAGAAAGGAGTGCCCTTCCGGGTGCAAATCGACACCTTTAAGCAGAATGAAAATGGTGAATACACAGAACACTTGCATTCTGCAAGCTGCCAGATCAAAGTGTTCAAGGTATGAGGTAGTTTTGGCTTTGTCATCAGTTAGATTAAAGCACAGGAACATGTAAAGATTTCATATTGCATAGGAGTGAGGCAAATACTGGAGTAAAAAAACAGACTTTCAACGGGCATGCTTAAGTGTTGCACCAAGACTTGTGCCAGTCTTGTGCCTCAAACACTACAAAATACTGAGATATTTAGGGTATCCAGTGTGTTTTGATGCTCCTAGGCAATCAAGACATTGAGGCGTCTTCAGTTTCTTTGATTGAATCTTCCATGAACAATAAAATTTTATTGTGGAGATCTTAAATACCTTTTTGTTGTTGTTGTTGGAGCAGAGTTTGTGATATCTGGAGGAGAAAAAGATTTAGAGAAAATGCATCTTTGAAGCTCCTAATGTGGGCATGGCAGACCTATAGCTACTTAACAACCAACTCTCCATAAGCCTGTTTTCTCAAGGGATCTGCTGCTCCAGTTTTGTTCCTGTGAGCAATGTCTTTCCTGTTTCTGGAAAGATGGTACAAATGCCAGTTGAGGTGCATTACTTACAGACTGAAATTGTTGGAATCACATCTCAGGACTGTGGTCAGCCTATTTTATAATTGCAGTAAACATTAGTGGTGGATGTACAGAAACAGCAGGGATGCTTGATTAATTCTTTTGTCTAGAAAATGCAGATCTGATCTTGTTTCATATGTAGTATTCCCGTAAATCTTAAGGAGGCTTTTGTGAAAAGATTAGATAAATCTGTTGGCTTCTGTTTCCAAAGTTGCAATACTTGGCATAAGGGAGAGCCTGTGCTTGTACTTATAGCCTAAAGGAGCAGACAGAAAACAGAAGACTGACAGGGAAAAAATGGAAAAGAAGACCACCCAAGAGAAGGAGAAGTATCAGCCTTCCTACGAGACAACTATTCTCACAGAGGTAGAGTGTTTTAGGTACATCATACTACATCATGTTGGGAGATAAACTAAGAGAACAGCATCTGAGCCCTGGAGATTGTCTTGTGGAGACATGCATGCTCAGATCTGAGTGAAAACAAGAGTGGAGCGAAATTATAACATGACTCACTGTTGAAATTTGTGAAAGATGCCAAATTTTCTTATGTTTTGTGGTATAAACCAACCCTTCGCAGCCTGGCTTTAAAAAAAACCAACTTTCTCAGTTTTCCCTGTGTTCCTGAGCACTTGTCATGGCCCTCAGGTGTCAGTTTTATGAAAATACAGTTGTCTGTATTTTTTTTTTCCAGAACTGCTTGGCAAAAGCTCATGTTGGAGATGGGGCACTTGAGCAGATGAATAGGCTGTCTGATTAAATTATTAATCTGTTTTTCTGTGGATGTGCTTATGAAGCAGTTGTTACATGCAAAATCTGAGAAGATTCTAGATTGTACTCTAGGAATAGCTTGTGTCTTATATTCTGATGCATCTGGTGTAGAGTTGTATGTGCTTCTGCCCCTCCCTGTCGTTACTAAGATGTTTGTATAAACTTATCATAGGCTGCAGAATTAGTCAGCAACAGGACTCAAGAAAGGGATTTAAAAGCGTTGTTCATTCTCCCTGTGGAATGACTTGTTGTTTGATTTAGATCTTATTTTTTTGGAGCAGTTGCTGGACTTCCAAAAATGATGTTAATTATTCTTAGTTTAAATCAACTTCATGTTTGTGAGATCCAGTCTCTCCCACTCCATGTTCCTCATGTTGCCAGGAACAACCAGCATGTTTTCTGATTGACAGACCTAATTCTACTGAGTTGGCAGATCCCAGACTCTCCCTATGAGCTCTGATGCACTTTGACATATTGCGTGGGGAAATGTGGGTTGCCAAAGAGTTAAATATTTGCCAGTGCTTGTGGAGATGATAAAATATTTGCTAGTGTTTGTGGAGATGATAAAGCTCCAAAGCTACACTTGCTGTCTTTTTATCATTGCAAACAAGGCCACTACAGAGCATTTTCTTGAGCTCATAGTGGGGGGTGTTCAGCAGGGCTAGATTTCTCCTGCTGATTACTGCTTAAATTCAGAACAGTCACCAATTCTAGCTGGGTTACTCTGGTTTTACACTACGGTCATGGAATGTGGAGTCTGACCTATATTTATGAAGACTTTTAGTAGCTTTGTGTCTGTCTATCTTAAATTTTCTCCATTTAATACCCATTTATGACTGGAGCTGTTCAACTAATGGCCAGAGGTTTCAGCAGGCTGGTTCAAATTCTGCTCTTTTGCTGGTATAAACCTGAAGCAATGCCACTGGAGCATTTTTGTCACCCTTGCCTGGATTTAATTAGGGAATTATAATTGAGAGCAGGGGTATTTCTGTATCATTGCTGCCTTCAGTCTGAGTTGACTTACTGGCGTTGCTCTGACTTACAGCTGTGCACACTTTGGCCCAGTGTTATTTGGGGACAGGCTTTGTGAAATGGGAGAAAGAAATGTGGAATGCACAACTGGAATCAATCTGGCCTCCTGACAGCCCGCTTGGAGAGCAGTGTAGAAAATCCATGGCCCATCTCCTCCTCCCAGCAGGAGTGATGAGCTGAAGTTAGTGGCGTGGCAACAGCATGAATGTGGTATTAGAGGAGAATCGAATCCTTTATTTCCATCCTTATGAAAGTTTCCCCACTGCCTTTCTTCCAACAGTGCTCTCCCTGGCCAGATGTGCCTTATCAAATGAACAATGCTCCATCTCCAAGCTACAACAGTTCGCCCAACAGCTTCAACCTTGGAGATGGGTATGTAACAAATACATGCTTTATCCTTCTTGTTGATATGGGCAGCCTTTGTGTGTCCATGCATTTCATACCATGGAAGATGATGTTAAGGACCCTACCCTTTCTAGCAAGGAGAAAGTATTTTCCAAAAGTCTTTAAGACCTTCCATCCAGGAATTCCCTGTAATGCTGGGTTTGTACGTGCCCTGTTTATGTGGTGGCTGGAAGGTGAGCATCAGAGGGCCTCCAGGGCCATTCCTTGTGAGAACACACCATGCCTGTGCCAGCAATCCCTGATATCTTCTCACTGCTGTGTTAGAGGCTTTCAGCACCTCTTCAGAACTGGCATTTCTTCCTTACTTTCTGTCCTGAGGTAGTTTGGGTTGCTGAATTCCCAGGTGAATGACATGTAAAGAAATCCCTTGGGGCAAAGCAGCCTAGGTTTTGAGATGCCATTTCAGAACAAAGGACTAATGAAGACATGTTTAATTAATTAAATAAACATCATAACAAGACAGCTCTAGTGATTCTGAAATGCTGAAGATAATTGGTGTCAGAAAGGGACAACAGTGTCCACCAGTATTTATGAGTCCTCCCTGCTACATACTTCCCCTTAGGAATTTGGAATAGGCCTTTTTCTTTTGGTAGGACTCTGCCATGTTATTGCCTTCTCACACAACTTAATTACCATGTTGTATTAATCCATGTTGTATCACTAATTTTCAGTGAATCCCCTCAACCTGTTAAAAAGAACAAACACTGAAATTACAGAATTTTGTGTTAGTAGAGAGATCTGCTGAGAATAATTTTCCTTTAGTAAAATCCCTGGTATGTTTAGGGGTCCTGTCTATGTTTAGAAGAATTAAGTAGAAATGTGGTTTTTTTATGATTTATGGCACTTGACTGTATTTAAGATAACACCAGGGTTGAATTGTAAGGTCTCTTATTCAATTTTTGTAAAGAATTATTATTCAACAGTGGATTTAGTGGGGATATTTCTACACATAAAAATTGAGTTCAGCCACCCTGTAGGTTATAATTTTCTTGCTTAGATGATGTCAGATTAGTGAGTCAACCATATGGAAAAGCTTGATTGAGGTCAGTAAACCTGAGTTTTTCTCTTGGTCTTGAGTCTTGGTCAGACCTCAGCTGACCAACTAAAGACTCAGAGAGAGGTTTTTTATTCTTGTTCCAAATTTTGAACACCTTTTAAAAAATGTGATAAAGAAAAAAAGCCAAGTTGGATGTAACTTGTGAAAACTTAGTCAAATAGAGGAGGGGGAAGAAGATGAACACTGCAATGTAAAATTTAAAATAATGTGTTTTTTTTTCTCTTCCAATTTTATATAATTTCTTTTAGCAACAGTTCACCAACCCACCAAATGGAGCTCCTGCCTCCCAGCAATGATGTAAGTACTTGAGATCATGTTAATGTGGTGCTTTTCTCTTTTAGGACACTGGTGAACTGTTCATTTCAAGACCTTCTTATTCTTTTTGCAATGTAGCATCTCCTTCCTTCTGCTTCTATTCAAGATGCCCAGCAGTGGCTTCATCGTAATAGGTTCTCTCCATTCTGTAGACTCTTCTCAAGTTTTTCGGGTGAGTTTAAACAGTCCAATTATTCTGGTTTTTTTCCTCTTCCATAAGTGCAGCTCATGTAGCATCTGCTGCTGGCCACTTTTGATGGGATCCTTGGTCTGATCCAACGTGGTTGTTCTTTCATTCTTAGATTAGTTACCATTTATCAAAGCAGTTTGTAGAGTAAATAAAAATGGAAGAAAATAAATTAAGATGGGACTTCCTAAGTTCATTAAGTGCAACTTTGAAACAAGTCCAGGGCCTTGTGCAGTTGCCTTTGAACATCTCCAAGGTTGGAAATTCCACAGTCTCTCTGGACAACCTCTTCAAATACGTAACTATTCTGACAGTGAAAATATTTTTTCTTGTATCTAATCAGCATTTCATCTTCTGTCTGCTGCCTCTCATCCTATTTCTGCACATTTAAGGTGCATCTGGCACCTTCACTGTACCCTCCAATTAAATACTTGTACAGACCAGTGAGCTGGTGGAAGGGGCAATTGTTAGAGGTGTTGAAACCAGGAGGAGACTCTCTCTGACTTGCAGCATAATGAAATAACTCAGTGAATGTGACAGTTACAGAAGATCAGGTCATTTAATGGCCACTGTGAAATATCTACCTTGTCTATGATGAGTTGGCTGGAGTATTTTCCAGTGCAGCACTGTTCTTTTGGCAGCTTCCAGCTTTCTGTTTCACAGTGATTGATTGATTTGAAGTACACACCTCTCTGAATTTAAAACTTTTCTGTGTAAAACTATCTGGTTTAGCTTTGTGGATTCTCTACCCCCTCTACCTCTGCCCTTTTCTGCTGCCCATACATATTATTTGGAAGCTAAGATTTGCTTAACTTCTGAATAAAGATCAATTTGAAATATGTAGGTGCCGACTTACTGAAGATGTCCAAAGAAGATTTTGTTCAAATCTGTGGGCCTGCTGATGGAATTCGGCTCTTTAATGCAATTAAAGGAAGGTTTGTACTATTTCCTTCCTATTTTTTTGTTATGATCCCTTGATAATTTCAGTGTTAACCAGAAGTTATTCGTGGAGCTGTAGCATTTAGACTTCCTTTTAATACTTCAGAGAGGTTCTCTCAGGGAATGGAGATCACAGTGATATTCAAATGCAAGCACAGCTCAGAAATGTTGCCAAAATGAAGCATAATGTGGATGTCCAGTGGTTTATTTGCTACCAGGTGATAGCTTGTATCCATTTCCTGAGCTACACAGCTGACAATACCCTATGCTTCATCTCCACCAGAGGTAACAAAAAAACCAAAGCCCTGGAGGCTCAAATGACTCTTAAACTTACTTTCATTGCAATAACCTCATAAATTCTACAGCTGAGCAGGATTTAAATCAGTAGAGGCAGGTATGATGAACTGCTTAGCAAGTGCTGTAAACTTTATTCTTATCTGATCTTGAAAAGATTAAGGTGCTCTGCATCACCTCCCAGGGGTCTCTTACTAGACATCCTAAGCCATCGAGTCACCAGCATCAAGACCATCCCTTCATTTGTTATTTATGCACAGCCTGAATAATTCCATCTCTTTCTGTTTGACAGCTGACTTGAAACTATTTCAGATCTGCTAAATAACTTACTACTGTTTTTGATTAATCCATAGAAACGTAAGGCCCAAGATGACAATTTATGTCTGTCAAGAACCAGAGCAAAACAGATCCCATCTCCACCAAAAACGAGAAAATGGAGATGGCAGTCTTTGTGGTAGGTTCTTATGTATGGATTTTGTTAAAAACTTACCTGTTTGGAATGCTGCTTTCTGCCTGAGCTGTGTGGGAGAGCTTGGTGTCCTTAGTGTTTGAAGGGATCCTGTTTATCCCAGTTTTACCAGTTTTTTTGGTTATGGTTTCACAGCTACAGATTCCAAATAGCACTGTCTGCCTGGGGGACAGACCCTGCTTACAAATTATCTGCAGAATGCCACAGCAGCAAAATCTCTATTCAATTCTTAGTAGGGACAATAGCATTAAAAACCACCCTTCCATCCACCATTTTCTTTAGATTATGTCTTGTTTGAAAAAATTCAGGGAAATGGAAAGTTGGTAGGTCTTAAAGTGAGGTTATAATTCTTGAAAGTTCAAAGCTTTTGAGAATTTGTCATACCTCATGACACAATGTACAACCAAATGAAAACAAAGATTATCCTTCAATCTGGCAATTGATAATAAACAGGCACAGCTTTTCTGCCTGGTAGCTATAATTTAGATTAGATTTCTAAAACAATACTGTCATGCATGTTGTTACCTTATACATTGTATGTTTTAGTTTGTGCCTATGGTATCTAATAAAATACTGCTTTTTGTGTGACATAGCATGTGTTTTACTATTTGATTGAATTCTTTATTTAAACTTCAAAATCAGTAAAAGATTATCCAAAAATATAAGCAGCTTTTATGAGAAGGCTGTTTTAATGCCCCATTATGTAAGTTGTAATTAGTCCCCATGTTTTCCTCTGGGTAAAAGTTGTGTGTGCTTTAATTGCCTGCTGCATACGAATAGTGGGTATTTTTCTGCAAATCATCAAGCCAGCTATTTGGGGGATGGTTTAAAACACCAAGCTTGTTTATTTCATTTGAACCTTCCTCTTAAACCCATTTGGTTGCTGAGTGTCTTGGTGACATCTGTATTTGCTGTTCTGTGATTGCTTTCCACTTGTTGCAGTGTATCATGCAATCTTCTTAGAAGAATTGAACACGCTGGAATTGATGGAGAAGATTGCAAACTTGTACAGCATTTCTCCCCAGCAGATAAATCGGATCTACCGGCAGGGACCCACAGGGATCCACGTGTTAGTGAGCAATGAGGTAAGGGGGCTGCATCTTTGTCACAGATGCAACAGTTGTCTGACTTCTTCAAGTTAGACTGATCTTTCAAATTATAGGATGTATCTTCAAGGGAGAATTGTAAAGCCATTAATCCCATCAAGGTAAAATAAATACTTGAAGCAAATCAGCCATACACAGCACTGATATTGGTGTGGTTTTGCTTTGTAAAAGATGTTGGTGTTCTTGCTTGGTTACTTTTTTTAGGCAAAACAAAACAAAATTGGTCATTTATTACTCTCAACCACTACCTGAAAAGAGGTTGTGGCAGTGTGGGGCTCTGTCTCTTCTCCCAAGTAACAAGTGTCAGGATGAGAGGAAATGGCCTCTATTTGTACCAGGGAATGTTTAGATTGGGGATTAGGAGAAATTTGTTTATTGGAAGAGTTATGAAGCATTGGAACAGGCTGCTCAAGGAAGTTGAGTCACCATCCCTGGAGGTATTTAAAAGTCACGTAGCTGTGGCACTTGGAGGCAGGTTTAGGGTTGGGCTTGCTGGTGCCCTGTCAATGTCTGTGGCATGATGATTTTAGAGGCTTTTTCCAGCCTAAATGATTCTATGAAATTCTTTTCATTTTGGCTACTTAGACACACTTTGAAGTGAGGATCTAAAGTAAGAACTTCTAAAATTAAATAGGCAAGTTGCCCAAAGAAGGTAAGTTTTAAAATCTGTAGGGCAATTAGTTTTACATCTTGGCCTATGATTCCAGGTACTGGGTCTGTCACTACATACACACTATAATTTATGGACCTCTGCTACTGTTTGTGTCCCATTATATGATGCCTTAATTTAGTCCATTCCATTAACTTACAGGTTAATAGTGAGTTGCCCTTCTTCCTCTTTTCCCCCTATTAAATAACTTACTCATTCATGCACCAGAATCACTTAAGGAGCTTCATTTTTAAGAAGTGTTGTTAAAACAAATGAAGCAGAGCATAGGTCTCAACTGGAGCCTAAATTGAATGCTGTAATGCTTATTCCTGAAGTCTCCTTGCTATTCCAGCCTGATTAAATCTGAAACTTTGATGCTTTATGGATGCAAAGTGCTTGGAGGCAGCTCTTGGTAGGGGAATTGCATCAACCAGCCTGGGTATAAGGCTTTAAGTATTTGTTTAAGTCAATTATTAACAAGGTCTATTGCTTTTCTAATATTTTTTTCTTGTTCTAGTACTATAGTGGCAAGAGTGTGGCACTCTGTGAATGTACTTCATGCATCATTAGGCAAAGACACACAAACTGGCCAGAGAAGTCTGATTTGAAGGAGTAGAGGCTGGATGTTAAATCCAGAAGAGTATAGGGAGATCAGTCTAAAATTGAAAAGGGTATTTTGATGAGAGAATTTAGAGCTGAAAAATGCACTACTCGAGTGATACTCAGTATCTAGGAGAAAGCTTTTTCACAAAGCTGGATTTCATGAACTGATCAGAGAGGTTCTGGTCACACCTCCCTTCTCTGAAATTGTGTCCAGCATTTGCTTCAGCTGTATGAGACACCTCCTGAAGGTAATTCCCCTCCTCTTAATTGATCAGTCATGTACGTTAGTAATCTTATGGGCAGGGTTACTCAGGACTGTGCAGGACTAGACACCAAGTGCTGTTTGATACCTCTCCTCTAAGACTATACTGTCACTGAAAGAAATGTGAGTTTAATTGCTAAAAATGTGTTGTGTTGGCTTTTTCCTTCTGCCCTTCAGATGGTGCAAAACTTCCAAGACGAATCTTGTTTTGTTATCAGCACATTAAAAGGTGTGTATTGCTGCTGCTGTTACCTGTTACTCTAAAGATAATTCCTCCTTTCAATTGCACTAAACGTTATCACAAACTCAATGCTGTTATCCTGAAAAGATAAGTAATCTAATCTAGTGTAAGTCAAGGTGTTGACTACACTATGATATACTGAATGATCAGTGCTTTATGCTGTTACACTGTTACAAAATTTCATAAATCCATTGACACCACTGACATAAATGAGCAGGAAACCACAAATAAAATGATAAAATATGGCAATTTGTGGGGTTTTTAATGCAAATTATTTGACTTAGGTGTTCAACACTGGTTTTCCTGAGTGGGTGGTGAACAAGGGTACAAACTGTTGCAAACTACCTAGAAAGAAAATTTGGAGTTCTCTATCTCTGGTGTTTCCTAAAAGCAATGAAAATATACTTTACATTTCTTTGTTACAGCTGAAAGCAATGATGGCTACCACATCATTTTAAAATGACCATGCTGCACAGAGAGACTTTAACGGCCTAAAATCTAGTGCCTCGCTGAGATTGCTACAACCTAGACTGGAAACATGAAGAACCTTCTGGATAAATGCTCCTGTGAACTAAGAATTACCAAACAGCTTAAAAAAAGCTTGCTTTTACAGATAGAAATTTTTGGTGGTGTGTGATTTTGGTGGGTTTGGTTTTTTTGTTTGTTTGGTTTGATTTCTGTTTTGGTTCTTTTGGTTTTTTTAAGCTGGAGCTGAGAACATCCTCAAAGCTTGTACATGTTTTTTCCTCCCTCCCTTCCCTTTCAGTCTCTTAAAAAATTGTAGAGGTTTCTGCTTATTACTTAGAAACATCTGCCTTGTACCAAAGGGAAATGAAAGATAAACAAATCCCAATTCTCTTGACCCCTCATGTTTGAGTGAATTGATTTACTTACAGTTCTGAGTGCTCTCTTGCTTTCAACACACACCCTGATGCTGATGGATGTAGACTCCCCAGGGCTCCTCTTGTACTCTTTGAGGTGGAAGGCTTGGGGCTGCCTCCCAAAACTGAGGCTGCCTCCTCCAATGAAGAGGATGAGTTTGGTGCCCAGCCTTCACCCAAAGTGTCAAAGTGTCTGGAAGCCCACACTTAGCTGTTCTCCACCTGCAGATGTGCTCAAAATCCAGAGACCTTGGTTCCTCCTGACAGACCTTCCAGACAGTACCAATCTAGTAGAGCAGTTCTGGGAGTGTTCAAGGGAGGACAGACAACTTGAGGTGAGCAGTTCAGTACCATGTTATTATCTTTAGAGAAATCTCCTTGAATGGAGCATGTGAAGGTTTTCTGAGGAACTGTTTTGAACATTGACAGCTATAGTGCTCATGACAAATTCATACTATGGATTTATTCTACTCTACAGATTAGTGATTAACTGCTATCTTTACTGTAACTGGGAATTAGATTAATCTTAGTGGATTTTCATCCTGTTACTGAAGTAAAACTTTTGATCAAGACCAGGTAAACAGATCATCTTAGTTGCTGCTTCTTATATTCTTGTTCTTTCACTTTTGACTCCTGTTTCCCATATCTGTACCTTTGATCAGCTCCACCCTCCCTTGGTCTTTTGGTACTCTGTTCCAGGCTCCATTAAGCTGAAAAAGCAGCTTCCACTGAAGTCAAAGGCAAACTGGATCACCTTTCTTGCATTTCACTTCTGACAGCTAAATAATGTCTGTTTCCCCAAACTGAGTGTCTATATACTGTCAAAATCTGATTCTTGAACACTTCATTTCATCCTAAACTGACATTGAAAGCTGAAATACCAAACATTTTCCTGGAATGGAAATTTTTCAAAAAATGAGAAATTGTCAACTGGAAAACACTGAATAAGATGTTCCAGCCTTTTGAAATGGAAACATTTAATTAAATCCATTTGGCCCTTAAAGCAGCATCAGTTTCAGCTACTGTTGCAGCCCTCAGAAATTGTCATTCAAGTGCCTTGCGCGCCGTGTCTCCCCTGGGGCTGAGCTCTTTGGCTGAATTACAGATCCCATGATGCTCCTACCCTGGGTTAGTCAAACAGGGAATGCGTCATGAGGGCTGGAGAGGTGCCCAGGGAAAAGAGGGGGCCATGGAGCTCTTGAATTACAGCTCCCAGCTGACACTAGAGGAATTCGGACAGACATGGACTGATATTTCTCTGACAAAAGTTATGTGTTTCAAGTTTTCCCAACAGAAATAAACAGCAAAATATTGAGAAAAGCAACCTTTTTTTCATTAAAGCATCGAGTTTTGTGCAAAAAACCCCACCCTTCCCCACTGATATATTTTTTTTAACACCGAAAATAATACTAGAATAGAAAACTTGTGTTACAATGGGAAAACCTTCAGCCAACTCAGCTAATTGAGCAGCAATGCCTGCTTAGGCACGATCTTGCTCAACTGACTGTCCTGGATGCTCCATGAATTGTAGGCATGCAGAAAGGATGCCTAGGCTTTGGGACATGGTGGTTCCTCCTTCTGAAATGAAGAAATTGAGGCTTCTTGGCTGAGAACCAGTCTGTGTAGGTGAGGAGGAGCTCCTGGCCATGGGATCCAGATTGTGACCACACAACACACTGTGCCTTCCGAAACAGTGAATGAATTCCAGGTGCTTTTGTGAGCAGGTGTACCAGGAGCTGCTTGATTTATTTTCTAGAAGGTGCTTTGGAAGATGGAAGTTGGCTGCTCTGTAATACTGGTTCAGTTCATGGTATGGCTGTCATTGGCATGCAGCTCAGGTGAATCTCATGGGAAGGCTTCTAAATAGACCTTGAAGTTGCCAGGAGTGTAGCTTGTATCATATCATATCTACTTAGATGTGATAGCCCTGTGAGGGGACACAGCAATACTGATACATAGCAGAGTGAAGAAAGGATAGAGGTGGTTTTGCTGCCAGTTAGGGATTACTTGTTTTAAAAAGCCTAACTTCTTGATTCTTTAAAAAATAACTGTTGCCCATAAGGAATTATATGCCTAAATCCTCATAGTGTTTCAATAGCACTTGATTGATGAATTTTGAACAAAAAGATGTCTGTTAGGGCCTTGCTGTATTTAGATTTTTAAAAACAAAATAATTATATTCTCATCTGAGGATGAATTTGACAATGTATCTTGCTTTCATGCTCTGAAAAGATATACCTGAGTAAAAAATCCCATAGACTATTAATATTTTCTTATGGGTTGGCTCTGTGTGAGCCTGTTGTAAAGCTGTACAGTTTAGGGGTGTGTGTAATACCTACCTTTATTTAACAGAGTAGTTCTAGTCCTTATTGAACCTCTGTAGCCCCAGCAGGAATTTTGAGGTTTGTGGTTAGGTAACAAACACATCCCTGAAGACACAGCACGGCTGGTTTGGTGTCCAGGAGAGTGCTGAGTTACTTCAGCTTAGAATCATAGATTGTCTTGAGTTGAAAGGAACCCTTAAGGGTCACAGAGTCCACTGCCCTTGTCCTTACAGGAGTACCTATAACTGATCCCTGTGGCTGTGAGTATCATCCAGAGCAGCCCAGGTACTCCTTGAACTCTGGCAGGCTTCCTGCCATGACCAGGGGTAAGGGAAGTCCCTGGGGAGCCTGTCCCAGTGACCAAGCACCCTCCCAGTGAAGAACATTTCTCCAGTGTCCAGTCTGAACTTGCCCTGATTCAGCTTCATTCCGTTCCCTCCCTGCCACCGGTTACCAGAGAGAGGAGATCAGCACCTCTCCTCCACTGCTGCCCTTGAGGAAGGTGCCAAGAGAGAGAAAGACTTGTCTCACCTGTGTGTCAGGTAATCCTTAACTCCCCTTGGATATGCCAACCCTGGAGGGACTTGTTTGACCTGTTTGTGGAAGTGACAGCCTCCAGAAGGAAGCTTTTGTTTCCTAAAGACTGGAGGAAGCACAAATGTTTAGTCTGGGATAGATACCTAAATTCTAGATAGACTAAAGGCAAGGGAGGTGAGTAGCTCCCACTCATCTAAATAGCATTTACTGTTTTCTTAAGTGCCTGTTACACTTATTTTTACTCTTTTTTTTATTGTTGTTGCTCCTATTTCTTTCTTTAAAAGTCAGAAAACCTACTCAAAGTGATTTAACTGGAACTTTTTTCAGCTATATGTGAAATTTGTGCAGCAGAACTTTTTAGGGACTAGGGCTTAAGATAACAATGAGTAACATGGTTTCCCAAGCTGTCCAGCTCTTCAATTGTATGTATGGTGACAGCCACTTGGGGGCTTGCTGGGAATGAAAAGGCAGAATCATTGTATGATTAATACCAATATGACTCCAGCCAGTACTGCAAAGTATAAACTTGCATTCTTGTCAGATCTGTACTGTCTGTTCGAAATTTCATAAATTGTGGCATTTTCTCTGTCAACTGAGTAAATTGATAGAGATCAATTAATATGACTCTGGTGATATCCTGAAAACTCACAGTAATGTCCATGATACACAACTGCAGGGCAAGGAGAGGGCAAACGATCTGGTGATAAAAATTTGGCCATCTGACTGAGGTGGCAGGACTGGTGCTATTAAAATTAATGCTCCTGTTCTCACTGCTGGCCCTGCATGGTTAATTGGCTAAAATAGAAATAATCATTCAATATGGAAAATACTGGAATTCTCATTGTCTTCGTGTGAAATTTAATGGGCTGAAGTTTCAAGACTTGGAGGTGGTAAAAGGATTCTTGCAATTGAGAAGCCCTGAATGGCACTCTCCTTATAATGTAACATATACATATATATATGCATATATATACATATATATCCACATACATACTGTACTGTATCAACACATACTTGTGCTGAGTACATGTGTTCCTTGGCTTTAACTGGTACTCTGCTTTGTTTAGTTGCAGTTCAATGTAAAAGACTCTGGTTGATCAAGCTTCAAAACCCAGCCATTCCTTGGGTAGAAATGTAAAAGTCCATAGTAGCACCTAGGTGATTTGGACATGGTACACTTGGAGTGATATAAGTTCTATGAGTTTCTGCCATATAAATCCCAGGCCTTGGTGAAGATGAGCATATTCTTTCACTAATACTGCAGTTCTACATTGCAGCTTCTGAAAATTAGTTAGAGTAACAGAGAAATAGATTGCCCAATGCTTTGTGAACTAGTAAGGCTACTCCATAAGCAGAACAACCATACGATGACTTTTCCTAGCTCAATGTTGTATTGCTTAAGCATTGGCTGTAATTCTAATGATCATCTGGTGGATGACTGAAACAGGTTTTTTTGTATCTTACCTGTTGGGATTTTTTTGAATTCTCAAGGAAATGCTTATATTCAAACTGTAGCTTCTCTTTCTCCTCCAGTTATGAAATGGTTTAACTTTATGCTAGTAATAGAAATATTTTCATAAGACTATAATCTGACAGCACAGGGTACTCAGAGTGGGGAGTGTTTGGTTTTGATCATCACTACTGTGGGTGAATACGAGAAGGCAGACTGGAGGTGTATCTAACATCCTTGGCTCTCTCTAACAAATGGGTTAAGCTAGTGCCTAATTTTTTGTGCATTTTTGATTTGTACCTTTTTTTTGCCATTCCCTCAAAATTCTGCTCCCTGGCGGGGGATGCATTGGTGACCAGGTGGTGTGCCCAACTTTTTAAAGTAGCCTGCTGTCCTGGCTTTCTTGGGGTGGGTGTTTATCTTTCAAAGGGGAGTTACCTCTCTTCACTGACAATGCAGCTGTTAGAGGCAGGCAGTGCTGGCCACAAAATTGGCATGATGGGCAGGGGTGAGTGGAGGAGGCTCGATGGGAGGCTGAGGCATACCAGTTGTGAGTAAATACTGCCACACTCTTTGTCTTTTCATTTGTTGGTTTTTGGGGGTTTTTTTGTACATGAATAAATAATAAAAAAAAAAAAGCATATTTTGCACTGGCTCTTGTACTGTTGTG